CCCCCCCCAACCCCTCGTGGGTCTTTGCGCCCGAAATTAAACGCAGTCTAAACCTCTCRAAAAATGTTCAAACTTGAATCAAAATGAAAAAATAAAAATGAAAAAAACCCAGACACAAAACACAGACACCAGTATCTTACCCATGATAACCTTTCCAACTAGAACACCAGTTTCACCTGGTTTACAGTTGATAGCCAGTCCATCCCGCCCTCTTAGTATCTCCCCCGTCTTTAGATCAATACGGATGAGCTTCACTGGAAATAATCTGGGAGCTATCATGGATGTAAAGCCACACGCTCCGACAGTATTGTCCGTGTTGACAAGGTTGGCATTCCCCTCTGAGGAACCGTAGAATTCTCCGATTTGCTTGATTTTAAAACGTGATTGGAATTCTTGCCAGATCTTTGGGCGCAGTCCATTACCGATGGCTACTCTTACGGTGTGCTGGGTGTCTGATGGACGAGGGGGCTGTGCGAGGAGATAGCGACACAACTCACCAATATACTGGAAAGCCTGGAGAGAGATGGGAAAAAACCGATAAACCTATAGGAAGAGCGTCAGTTTTAAAAATTTCTAAGGATTTGGTCCATATATATTTTCATTTTGTTTTCTTCTCTCCTATGCTACGAGGGTTTTCTCCGGGTTCTCCGGTTTCCTCAGTAAAAATCAACATGTGAGCTGAGCGTTGTGTGCATAAAACATTGAATGTAGTGGCAGTGCGTGTGAGCGAAAAGTGTCCCAAGCAAATAGTGCGAAAGCGCTAGAACGAGTAGACACTTAAATAAAGTGATTTTTTTTTTTCATTCACCGCATCACATTTTATCAAATGCATCCTCAGTCAACCAGATCGAATTTGAAATTTAGCTTGTTTCAGTTTTGTAGGAGGAAGAAGACATAAGAGTCCGGAGAAATACTTTTGAATGAAGGAAGAGACTTTAAACAAACTTCACACACATGTGATGCAAGTCCAAAAATTGTTGCAAGAAGGAAGGAAGGAAGAAAAAATGGAATTCCTTGACTAAGGGGGAGGGGTGGGGGTACAAAATACTCACAGTCACTTTGTACTCAATACAGTCATCCCAGAATCTACTGGCCGAGAATTTCCTTCTTATGACGACAGTACAACCATGGACAAAGCAGTAAGCAATGCAAGCCAACCCACCRGCTGAATGGTAGAGAGGCAAGGTACAGTAGACAACATCGTTGCTTCCTAAGTTAAAAAGGTTCGCAAAACCTGATGCCAGGAAAAACCTGTAAATACACAAAGTAAATTAAAGTAAAAGTAAATTAAAGTAAAAGTAAATCAGAGCAGAGCAGAGCAGAGCAGAGCAGAGCAGAGCAGAGCAGAGCAGAGCAGAGCAGAGCAGAGCAGAGCAGAGCAGAGCAGTGCAGAACAGAGCAGAGCAGAGCAGAACAGAGCGGGTTGGTCACTCAAACCAAGGTATAGCCATTTGCATATATTTCTTTAAAGCAAAGGCAGCTCCCTCTACGCTCAGATATTTTAAGATCAATACAAGACCAGCTCTTGCACTCCAACAAACTGGTGCTTAACTAACTGAACTGACAGTAACTGTCCCATGTAGATTTCATATGCCCCATYGACTTCAACCTCCTCTATCTGAAATTAATTTGTTTCCCTCGCAATATTGGCACTGAGAAAAATATCATATACAGCACACCTCTTTTTTATATATACATTTTAATTATTTTCAAGCGGAAAATCCGGAATCGTATCCTGGAATGACCACTTGGATTGGACTTCAGTAAAGTGGAGCTTGGATCAAAAACGTTTTTATAGTTTAATTATTTTCTTGCTAAAAAAGTGCTTTATAACTAAAATTCCTAAAAGTCTGGCTGCAGTAACAAGCTCGTACCTTGATGTCCTGATAATAGCAGGTTTGGGGAGTCCAGTGGTACCAGAGGTATAAATGTACAGCAATTTGTCTGAAAGATAACATAACAGTAAATGACAATTTTATGTATTTTAGAAGAAGCTAATACCAGTCTCTCTTATTACTTGGAAATCAAACCTTGCTTCCCCTCCCTCCCCTCCCTCGTCGGAAAGGTTTGAATATTTTCTGTATAATATTTCATTTGTCCACMCAAAAACATTCTCCCTCTGCCTAGTAAGCAATGTACTTACGATTTCCAGTCGAAAGATCCAAAATAGACCCTTCATAGGTCAATCATGTCAATAAACCTTTTGCTATATTTTTCTTGTCTACATTGTCCATACATAAATCTAATTACTTTACTTTCGTAAGAAAAATGTGAAACTAAATTTCTGGCTTTGCTGCCTATGGAAAACCTCATTCACCCACAGAAAATTCCTTGCATCGAGCTACAGAATCAATATGCTCTCCATCTTTAGATTGTGAACATCAGCGTCATACTGATCTGTAAAGCTCTTTTTGAAATCACTTCTTGGTTGCTCAAAGTTTTCTCCATCTTAAGGTTGTGAACATCAAAGTCATACTGACCTGTAAAGCTCTTTTTGAAATCAGCTGTTGGTTGCTCTGTTGATGCATCCTTTAGATGTTGGTCCAGATTAACGGAATCTACTTTACTGTTTGAGTTTTGACCATGGCTGTAAAGCTGCAATTTGTTCTTGAGCTTGTCTAAAATGTCCTTTACAGGATCTGCATTGAGAATGAGTTATTTTAGTATCCAGATAAATGGATTAAAATTGGTTTAAAATAAAACCATAAAAAAAGATTTGGATTGAGGAGCCATACAGCAAAAAAACAAAACAAAACAAACCAAACATAAACAAAAACATCTTGAATTTAAGATTTTAAACTGGGAAATAGAATTTGGATTATATYCTGAGTAACAAACCAAATTTAATCAAACCCTGAAATAGCCTCTAGGCTGATCTAATTAGAACTTTGCGGTGATGATTAGTGATGACAAATAAGCCTGAAGCGAGATGACDTTTTACCCCCGTCTCTAGACCATAATCCTTTTCACACTGCTTTTGTTCTTTAATTATGACTATTGTTCCTGTATTCTCTAAGGAATCAAAAAATTTAATATGAAAGAATTTTAAAAACTATTATGGTATAGAGTCAAGGGTAAAACGTCATCTCCCTTCAGGCTTATTTTTTTCTTTTTTATAGATACATGCACTACTGCTATAATATCAATGTTAATACCCAAACAAGCTTATTAGGAAATTATATGTATCCAACTCAATAATCAATATAAAAATTATACATTACTTACCAGAATAATCACTGCTAAATATGAGAGCTTTGGCTTCAGACACAGCAATGCAGTGATACAAAGAATCTAACTTCAGGTTGAAGTTAATCAGTGCTGTAATGACACCAATCTTTGCCAATCCAAGCCAAAGACAGACATATTCAGGTCTGTTTTCCATAAACAGTGCCACTACATCTCCCTTTCCAAATCCTTTGGACTTGAAGAAGTTTGCAATGCGGTTAGAATATTCATCTACTTCTTGGAATGTCCAACTCTTGCCTTCAAACTGGAGGGCAACTTTGCGAGGATACTTTTTAAGGGTTTTCTGGAAGATATCGGTGATGTTGTAATTCTTGTAGTTGTAGAAGAGGGCTCTCAATTGCATGAGACCCAAAATAAATATACCACTGGAAAAAAATAAAAATAAACAATGTGTAGTTCCAGAAATCATCCATACCCACCCCAAAGAGGAATTTGAAATTTCTGCAGAGTAGGGGGGCCAGAGAAAGAACAAAAATTACAGAGTTTGTATGGAAGAAGATTGGAATCTCCAGGGGGTAGGGGGGTGTCTTAAAAAAATTCCTCTGTGAGGGGGGTATAGATAATTTTTGGAACTACACAATTTAAGACTGACCACTTTTATTTTATAGAGAGGGGGCTGCAGTAGAATATAGTTATAATCCTTTTTTTTATTCAGTGATAGATCAAAATAATACAGTAGATGGTCAACAGAAAATATGTGGACAGTAAAGCCTCTCATCATGTCTGTTTATTTAGTAGCTTATATTTTTAAAATCTGTTCAGTAAATTATATCTCTTGACTACAAACTTATTTTTTCTGGTGAAGTACCATTTGACCAAAACTAATTATTCACAAACATTAATTGTAATACTATCATTTGCATTCAACCTTGAAGCATGATCGCTTTAGCGCATYGTTTTACTTTTCAAACGTAACTGTTTGTCTAGTTTGTGTGTTACGCTTAATTTGACCAATGAAATCATGATGCCACATGCTCCAAATGTCGTGTTTTAATTGGTCAAACCCAAAACTAAATTATGCAAAACAGTTATGTTTCGAAAGTCTAGCGTGGTTACCGTTCAAGGTTGAGCACAAAACTTCAAAAGTTTTCAATGTTTTGAGGAATGTTTTTAGAATATTGCACACTTATGAAAAAGTACAAGGCTAAGCCTGTAACAATAAGATTTACCCAATTTTTTATTTGCAGCAGCCATGAAAAAGAATTTGCCTACCCCACCCCACCCCTCCCCCCTTAACTAAGAGTTCACTTTCGCTGTTAGTTTAATATCCTGTTGAGCGCACGTTTTTATATCTAAAGATCAGTAAGCAACGTGCTGAAAATCAATCTCAAAATATGAGCTATGACTGCACAATCCTGAGATATCTTTTAGCTTGTGAATTTAATTAATTCATTAAAGAGTAATTTGGCGCTTTCGTTAATATAACGTACAAAATTAGTACTAATGGACAGATTATTATGAGTTAGGTGTTCAATTATGTGGTAAAGAGATTCAAAACAGGCTCTCATGTACAATACTTGATCAATATTTAAAGTAATTGAGTAAAACCAACCTCAAGTCACGAGTTATCGTACGAAAAAACACCTTTGGAAAAGAAGGTCCACCAGACGCTAAAAATGCAATGAACMAAAGACCAGGGAATGCAATCCAGGGAAAAGAAAAGTAATGGATTGCTGAGGCGATGACTGCAATCACTAGGCTCCATGCTAGGAACACCTTCATCCTTCTGATTTGGAGGAGAATTCTTGAGGTTGGAGTAAGTTTGTTTGAAAGAGTGTGACTTTGACCCTCCTCCTGTAGTAAACGATACCCCGACTGCATAGCAGACGGGAGGGTTGAAGAATCTAGAACTTGCAACAATTCGGGAAGCTTTCGGCTTCACTTCGTGGAAGTCAATACTTCAATACTTTTAGCCTCCATTCTACCTGTTAGTCGCCTTGAATTCAAGTCTTAATCATTTCTAGAAGCTCCATTATTTAAGAATTCAGAGAACAGAATCTTTTAGATAAGCAGATCACGATTTCAATGCGTTTGTAGGGAAAAAATGGCAACAAATTAAAATCCGGGTGACGCTAGCGACAGGTAAACGAGTGGTTATTGACTTGCACGATTTCCCATTCGCTGCTTCGTCGGTTTTAACGATTTAACACAGGTAACCCAATCTATAATTGTATAAAGGACACAGGGAACCCAAGCTGAAGACTTCTAAATCAATACCAGAAATACGTCCCGTCTGTTGGGCGCGAGACTAATAATTTACATTCCTAAAAGTTACCAATGATCTATAACTTTAAGTGAAAGAGGTCAGATAATGAACTGAAAATCAATAGCTTGAATGACAACTGCCATTCTCAGGTATCTTATTGCCTCAAAAACACCTTAAGAGGTACTGGCTTACYCTCTAGTTCCTTTTAGATTTATGACACCCTAAGAGGTACCAAATTGCAGATATCCAGCCCTTCTCGAATCCGAATCCCCCCCAGAGGGTTCTGTTGTCCCTACACAAACTTCACACAAAGAATCTCTGAAATTGTAGAACATTATATATGTATTTTGATTTAAAACAATTTATTTTGAATAAGATTTCCAAATATATAAATAATAATATATTTATAAATTATATTATCCATACTGTACTTTATTATTATTTTTACATCTGTATATCTCCATTAAGAATTTGACAATAGTTATCACAGTTCAAAGGAAGATAATTCTTTGACTTCCTATCAAGATAGTACATTGGATCTTTCACCAAATTCACGTTAAAACCCTCTTCTTTCAGCTTATTCTTCTGGAATTTAAACGTTGCTGTCATAGCAACCTSCTTCACGACGCGAACAAACACGGGRCAGGCGTAACTAGGCAACACGGGACCAAGTTTCGACGCCAGGTTTTCGATRTCAAGCACGTTTTTCGGGTCGGCGATAGTGACCATTCCTGCCTTTCCTTCTGCTCCAGGAACTTCGACACCATAAACAACGACATCGCTTAACCCAACCTTTTTGCTCACAATCGATTCAACCTCGGCAGTCGATACATTTTCGCCTCGCCATCGGAAGGTGTCGCCAATACGATCTACGAATAATACGTAACCATACTCGTCTCGTACTAAAACATCGCCGGACACAAAATAGACGTCATTCTTAATAAAGACATTTCGAATCAGCTTCTTTTCAGTGTCGTTTTGTTTGAGATAGCCATCAAATCTTGCACCAGGGTCGTCTGTGGCATAAAAGAAAGACAACTTATTTAATGATACCCTTAACAACCTTTAGTCTGATCAAAGTCAGGCATCGCGGTGGTAAGAAAACCCCAAGAGAAACCCTCAATCAACAAACTCTACTCACATGTGATTCCAATACAAACCTCAGACTCCATCCAGAGACAAACCCAGACAAAACCGAGACTCCAGAGTGCCCTATCACTACCCCCCTCCCCACCCTTGATTGCCAAGCTGCAAAAGGCTCCCATACTTATCAGAAAATAAACTTACCTTTGACAACCTTTCCAATTGCAAGACCTGGTTCGCCAGGTTTACAGTTGATAGCCAGTCCATCCTCACCTCGCACTATTTCCCCCGTCTTGCGATCAATACGGATGAGTTTAACAGAGACCAACCTTGAAAAAATCACGGATATAAACCCACAAGAGCCGACGGTGTTGTCTACATTAAGGAAACCAACATTCCCCTCTGAGGAACCGTAGAATTCTCCGATTTGCTTGATTTTAAAACGTGATTGAAATTCTTGCCAGATCTTTGGGCGCAGTCCATTACCGATGGCAATTCGTACGGTGTGCTGGGTGTCTGATGGACGAGGGGGTTGTGCGAGAAGATAGCGGCACATCTCACCAATATACTGAACAACCTAAAAAAATAACCCATAGCTTTTTCAGAACACTGAAATCAAATTCAGGCTTGGTACGATTTCTGCATGCAACATTGTAAAAACAGAATGGAGATCTACTTAGTTGTGCACATTGTGTGAACCGCAACATGCAAACGTTTTGGCATGACCTGCTCTCATCCAATGAAAAGCAACTTTTCGGGGTTAATGGCGGCTGGAATTCGAATTATGTGATCGTAGCAGGAGAATTATATTGCAGGAGAAGACGCCACGTGCGACGCTAGCGACAGCAATAACAACAAGGGAAAAATCTTTAATCGAGGGGGCGTAGCGGTAGTGCACTTGCCTCTTACCCCTAGCATCTTAGATTCAATTCCCAGACTCTGCATCACATTTGAGTAGAGTTTGTTAGAGTTTCACTAAATT